TTACCAAGTCTGTGTACACCTTCAAGATAAAGTAAAAGTAGGGCCAAAACAGCACAGAGATCTGGAGACAATCTGTCTTTCTGCAAGCAATGGAGGCAGACTCTAGGCTTCAGCAAGCTACTCACTGGTTGAGTAGCTCATTGTCTGGTCAAATGTGAGGCAACAACTCAAGATGAATTCTGCATTGCCTCCCTCAGTGCTGTTTTGACTATTCTGATTTTGTGCAACTCGAGGACAGGTGTGAAACTGATCATCATGATAAAGCAGGTGACAGTACCAGTAATACCTACTATGTACACTACACATAAGATACAGACTTTTGTGTACTGAAATCAAGTTTTTTCTATTGTGATGACAAATGCTTCCTGTTTTAAACTATGTGGTATCGCCTACTTTTGGAGTAAATGGCTTTTGTAAATAATTTGTCTACTTGTGAATCTAAAGTGAGCAGCAAAATCCTGCCAATAAAACAGTAAACATGGAGTCAGTATCAGCCTTGTGAATTATTATTTTGTATTTTTCCTTGGCGATAATTTTTCCTACCCAAGTGACTAATGTGAATTTTCCAATTTCTGCTGAAGACAAACTATTAGCCCGACCAATTAAATTTAATGGCAAAAGGATATTCAAATCCATTCAAGTGCCCAAATCCTCTCATCATTAGCTGCCCTTAAAAAATACACATTGGAAAGGATCTCAATTTGCTCTGTTAGGCAAAACAATTACTGAAATAATTCTTCAAAATTACATTTTGAATAGGCTAAGTACTAAATCCATTTGTTTCCCAGCCTGCCAAAGAAGCGTAAGGGACTAGAGCATTGCATTATTTCATCATTAAGAGGGTTAATCTTGTAATTTCTCCTGAAATCTTATGGTTTCTTCCAAAACTGTGCACCCATATTTATCTTCTGAAACCTGTACTAAGTGTAGTTTAGCTAGCAATATCAGAGTGTCCCGATACTCCTTCCACTTACAGACTTTTCTTGGTGCAACAAAGCCAAATAGCTGACAATTTTCCACACCTGGAAATCTGCCTCAGGCTGAATTATTAAAAAACAAAACAAAACAAAAACAAAACTCAATCCCCATCAAGCACTATAGAACCAGTCAAAAAATGGGAGAAATAATGCTTTAAAATTCAGAAAATCCCATTGAGAACTCCAAGAGAGCTCTTCTGGTCCAGCCCTCCCAGCATTCTCAGCCACCACTGCACCCCTGCTGGTAGTAAACCAGCAGCTGCCACAGCCCCTACTGTGGATTTAGATTTTGGGGTCTGCAACATTGCTGTATTTTGATATTTTCCATCAACAAAGCAGTGTTTCAGGCTGACTCACTGGTTAGGGCAGGAAAAAAAAGCTGTGCTTTGCCCTCAACTCCATTTGTTGTGAGCAGTATCCCCAAAAAAAGAAGTATTCCCACTGAAGAAGGGCAATGGTCCCGTGTTCCCTGATAAGGGCATCCATGTAGCCATACCGCCCTTTGCCCATGTCTGCACCAACTCAGAACAGTGCAACACTGGTCACAGGTTTCACTTTCAGGGACAAATGTCTGCTCCTAAACTGGGCTGCAGCAACAAGGGGACCAGGACAACAAGCCCATGGGCACTGCATGGGGACAGAAACCCCATGAAGCATTTTTGTCTCCACAGAACTCATTCTGTCTTGGTAGTGGCAGGCCCCCCTCCATCTGCCACCCATGACTGTGCTTGCATGGAGAATTTGAAAGACTCTTAACTCCCTTTAGGTGCCGAAGTGTGCAGCAGGGACAGGCCCTGACCTCAGTGGCTCCCTCAGGCAGGGGGAAGCAGGTATGCCATGGTCCAACCACAGCAGCCGAGGGAGGGGGCCAGACCACATGCTCTCCATAGCTTAAGTTGTGCAGGAAATAAAAAGAACAGGAAGGCTTCTTTTGCACCCACAAAAGTTAGGTTAGGGAGCATGGACCTGCTCCAGAGATAGGTCCTCCCTTGGGTTGGTCTATTAGCTGCCTCCCGTCCAGTCCCTCCCTGCAGAAACACCTTTACACCTACACTGAATGACAGCATTTAGTGAGCGAATGGAATACGGACTGCACATATCCAGTGCTCTGCTTGCAAAAGCCATGGTTAAACAAAGAAAGAATATCACAAGCTGGAAGGAAGGCACGTCCCTGTCAAGAAGGAGAAACAGCCCCTTCTGGCACAGCTCCAAAACCATAAGCTCGCTTCCGTTTGCAGCAGTTCCTCCAGGGATAAACAAAGGTAAATCCAGTCTCTGCTCCTTCACACTAGCTCTCTAAAAACAAAATACAGGTGTAACTAGAAACTAAAATGGTGATTCTGAACAACTAAGAGAGAATTAAGAGAAGAAAAAGCAGTTATTCTCAGCTACAGGCACTGAGAAAATGAAGCAATAGCAGGAAAAGAAACTCTAACCGTTATCTCTCTACCAAAAGACAACAATCTGCAAGAACCCAGGCCAGGGTGGCTCACAAGATGACATGAGATTTCTGATGACTGACTGACTCAGGAGCTCAGACCTAACTGTGCTTCACTGAGCCTGGAAGACTTTCCTGTGGCAACAGCACCCTCCAGCTGCTGCCTCTGCTGCACAGCATTACACCTACATCACTGAAAACTGCACCAGCTTGCACTGGCCACCTTGGTGACAGGGACATGCAGATACTCCCAGTATTCCCATGCCTCCAATGCATGGCAACATATGCTTCAGCTTTCATCACTTGGGCACCTAGGCACTTAGTCAACACTTCTGATGCCTGCATTCCCCCTCTCTCTGTGTGTCAGCAGGGTAGTGACCACTTGCTGCCTGCTTGGGCTACCCCATTCCAAACATTCAGTATCACCTGTGCTGAAAAAACTCTCACCATTAAGCAGAAGAAAGAAGGATTGAGACAAGACACACACTACTCCCTCAGACTCACAAAAGTTCCTCTTCCCTCTTAGAGTCTACAGACTGCACCCTCACCCATGTTGCCAGGAAAAGCCCCCAGACCACTGATGAGACAGGGATCACTGCAGCTTCCAAAGCAACCTTCCTAACACCATCCAGAATAAGAGAATGATGGACAAAGCCTGACATAAACCCACCAAAATTATCATGAATAATAAGAACCAACACTGAACACAAAGTTGCTCAAAGTCGCCTCCCTCAAAACCAGGACCGAGTAAAACCAGCAGAAGAGAACACACAGAGATAGTAGCATTCCCCAGAAAAAAAGACATCCCTGAGCTCAAAAGACCATTGAGGAAAATAAAAAAACCATGTGAACTCATCCTGCTCCTCACCTGCTGGTTCCAGAAGAAAACATGTGGAAGGTAACACACAGAAAGCACATATCACAGGCACAGCAATAAAATTCAGGTGTGTGTTAAGACACAGCAATAAAATCCAGGTGTGTGTCACCTTGAAAAAGCCAAATGCTGAAGCACTCCAAAAAAGCTGGAAGGTGGAGAGCTCCAAAACTGACACACATGGAAGTGCTCCAGACAGCAGGGTGCTGGTTACTAGAGGGCTGCACACTGAAGTGCTCCAATGAAAGCCAGGCACTGAAGCAATCCAAAACGGCCAGGCAGCGAAGCACTGCTCCAGGTGCTGTTAAGGACTCCAATGTACACAAGGCATTCTAGGTATCAAGAAAAAACCTCAGGGTGAAGCACCTCAAAAAGAGCCATATGTCTTCTTCAGAAGACAAATATGGAAATGCTCCTCCCCTTCCTCCTTCCCTTTTATTTGGGGACAAATGAAAAAAAGATAGTGAGGGACTCCACTATGGTGGCAGTACAATGAATGGGTACTCCATGGCAGCACAACACGAGGCTACTCTGGCACGGTGTGATGAGGGGGGCCTCTGGATAAGTTCAAGTAGGTGCTCCACTGGCACAGTGCAGCCTTTCACGGTGAGACACAATGAGGAGCTCCAACGGCAGGGCACAACAAGGGGCTCCCACGGTACTTACAATGAGAGGCCAAAATACGTACCATACAATACATACCATAATACATTATCACATTATCACATAATCAACCAGGTTGGAAAAGACC